AGTGGAAGACCTTTTTCAAACAATAGTCAATTTACAAAAGCCTCCTCCTCAAAACGTAACCAAAGAAACAATAATCAAAGTCCAAAAAATAACTATAAGAAATTAGATATATTACAATTACACTGATCACTAAAATATTGTTATATTTTTATGCACATATCATCAATAAAATCAATTAAAATAAGACAAGTTAATCAGTAAATTTCAACTAGTGATAACCAGAAATTTCATATTCAATTTTATACCTCATTTCATATGAATCATAATCATAACCATCATCAGAATCACTAGAACTACCATTAGAACCAAGATTATTGTCATCTAAATTATCTTTTGAAAACAGATAAATATATTAGCAAATTCCTTCTCCTCCAAATACCATCATAAATATTAATTCCTGTTTCATCATTATCCTCAACTTCCATTTGATTTACTTAAACAATTGATACAACAACATAGCCTTTTGTTATTAGACATTTTATTTGAATTTAAAATGATAATTATATTTAAACAAATTTTTATTTAAAATTTATGATTTTGTACAGCTGCATCCATAAATACAATTATAAAATTTTTCGTAATTAAATAATATATATATATATATATATTATATATATGTATGTATACACTGATTTTTTTAACTGATTTTTAACTGGTTGAAAATTTTTTATGATCATCCGTTAATAATAAAACCCGTTGTCGTGAACATTATTATTGTTATTATTATTAGTTATTATTATTTATTAGTTATTAGATGTAATTGTCCTAATATCAAAGAAGAGTACCAACTGGAAGGCATATTTAAAATGTTATCAAGATAGTAATTATAGTCAAGATATTCAAAAAGAAAAGTTAATTCCACCATTCAAATTTCAACTTTCATCATTCTAAAGCAACAACAATCAAAGGAATATTTATTTACTATTATTAAATATATAATATATATTATTATTATATATTATTATTAATTTATTTTCTTGGTGGTTTTGGCTGGGTGCCAGTTTTTTGATTGTGTTGGCTGGGTGCCAACTTTATTGGTTATTTTGGTTTTGATTTTTATATATTATTATACAACATAAGTTTTCCTTTAACAATTTTTATATAGAATTCATTGTATCAAATCAGCAATAACAATAATAATTCACAGTAATGAATAATAATAACTGATAATAATAGTAATAAATAATAATAATAGTTTCATCAATATACCACAAGATTATTAATGGACAGGAAAACTATCAATAATTGTGAGTTATACATAATAACTTGTAATGTTTTTTTACTTTTTACTAAAATTTATCTTTATTTTATATTATAATTATAAGAAACAAAGCCAATCACCTATTTATAAGCCAGAAAATTCTAGAAGCTTAATAGTTGCAAACATGTAAAATATTCAATGTCACAAAGAGACAATATAAAAGTTATCAGGTAATAAATACAAGTACAAGTACTATTTGAGTATTATTTTAATTCAAACTTGCCTAATTAATATAGCAGCAAATTTGGTTCTTAGTAAATATGAGAAAAATCAACATTAATAGGAAAGCAAAATTATATTAGTTTTATTTCAAAAATAATTAAAAGGGTGACAATATAATATATATTATTTTTTTTTAATATAATTGTAATGTTTACTTTCTTAACGATAATAGTTTCTCGAACGGTATTTT